CCCCCCCCCCCCCCCTGCTTTGTTCCTGGGCACCGTTGTTTGGCCTCTTCACCCCCACCTCCACCCTCACCCTCCCACCCCGTGGTAAACGCAGGAAAATCTCGACAGTGTTGCCAGAAGTCTTGAATACCGACTGCCGTGTCATCTTGACCGACGTTTGTGAACTTTCCATATCGTCAGCTAGCAAGCTTCTCCAAGCCCTGTTTTTTCGTCACGTGTTTGTCGTGTTCCGAAGTATTGTTTGGTGCCAATGCTGTATTTCTGCAAGTTTCGGAATTCCCCGATAGATTCGCTCCGGGGGTAGTTTTCTCTTTTGTTTTAGGATCCCCCCACCTCCTACTCTTGTGCTGTTGTCGTCAGGGAATACAAGGCATTCTTGTGTTGTTATGCTCGTCATGCGCTTGTGCCTGTCACTTCATCTGCCGAAACGAGTTGTCGTCGCTCCTTGAGCCATACATCAACTTTATCTCATGTTGCGTACCTATGCTTTCCCTTTCCCCACGTGATTTTCGGACCAGATTCTGGTACTCCATGCTCCAGTTCATGACGGGCCCGCGTCGCCACGCCTCCGGAATCCTGACCATCCCCAAGTCGGACTTCGGGAACCCCAAGATCATGCGCTTCCTGTCCCCATACGTCGGCGGCAACGACAACCTCGTCGTGGAGGAGACCCCGGCCGAAGACGTCCACGTGGAGGACTCCGATCTAGGCGCATATCTCGACGAGATGAACTGATCGTTGTTGTTGATTGGTTCTTCACAAGCTCAGCATCTGCATGGGTCGCGGAATTGCTGGCAAATGTTCTCGGGCGTAGCGCTTGCTGTGGTGTTAGGTGGGGAGCAGGTTTTTGTCGCGTTCGGCAGTAAGTTTATTTCGTCACTGTTCTTTTTCGAGCAACGCGTGAAGCGCTTGGAGATCGATACGCGCCGGCGTACCCTGGACGTGGTACACACAACGCAGAAATGCTCCTCCGTGTCGCCGGGGGTAGGGACACCTCAAGTATTGAGGTGCTTCGCGGACAATGGGCCAAGTAGGTTCGGTCGAGCTTGATTGAACTCATGGAGTTTTTAGTCTGTACGCACAATAAAGTGTCGGCAGGAGCGTGTACATGCCAGACTGGTTGCGTGGACCTAGAGGCATGGAGTGCAATTTTTTTGGTGGTTGGAACTATTTGTTTTCTTCTCCGTGTTTTCTTGGATCTTCGTCGAGCTTGTGGCTCACCATGCGTCCTGATTTGCTTGGTGCACGTCATGGACATGTGCACATTCACATTCCGTTGAAAGTGTGGCAATCAAGTTGGGGTTGTGAGCCCCACCATTNGCTTGGATCTTCGTCGAGCTTGTGGCTCACCATGCGTCCTGATTTGCTTGGTGCACGTCATGGACATGTGCACATTCACATTCCGTTGAAAGTGTGGCAATCAAGTTGGGGTTGTGAGCCCCACCATTGCATTTGCGTGATGTTATTTGGGTTCTGTGACGAGTATCGGCACACTCTCAACATTCTTAACATTCTTCTTTACGTGGATTCGACCCTGACGCAGAAATGNCATCGGACACACTCTTAACATTCTTAACATTCTTCTTTACGTGGATTCGACCCTGACGCAGAAATGACTGTTGGCAGGATGCCGAGTCGATCTGTGCAGAGGATGCGCGTGATAATCGTGTCGGCGTTGGTGCTGTACGATTGAGCGACGACATGGCATGAAAACCGGGATCGTTCGCGATTAACCCGGAGGCGTATGCTCACAAGCCATCGACAACCACGAAAAAACTGAGTGAAAAACAGCACACCACACAAAATTGATGCCGCAGTTTGCTTACAGGGTGCAGTTCGGGCCACCCTGGCAGGGTGGACCCTGTCCAGGGTGTCTATAAAAGACCTTGCCGGCGGTGCACCCTTCTGCCGTTTACAAGGTGGGTACCCTGGCAGGGTGGTTTTTTGGCCACCCTGCCAGGGTAGCCAAATGGCTACAGGTGAATGCAGTCCCGGATTCCGTGATAACTCTTTTGATTCTGCGCGAAATACTGCAGCACTTGAGTGTCGATAAGCGATCCCCCATGTCCTCCATGGGTCGCCATTTCTTCNTTAGTGAAAAACAGCACACCACACAAAATTGCTGCCGCAGTTTGCTTACAGGGTGCAGTTCGGGCCACCCTGGCAGGGTGGACCCTGTCCAGGGTGCCTATAAAAGACCCTGCCGGCGGTGCACCCTTCTGCCGTTTACAAGGTGGGTACCCTGGCAGGGTGGTTTTTTGGCCACCCTGCCAGGGTAGCCAAATGGCTACAGGTGAATGCAGTCCAGGATTCCGTGATAACTCTTTTGATTCTGCGCGAAATACTGCAGCACTTGAGTGTCGATAAGCGATCCCCCATGTCCTCCATGGGTCGCCATTTCTTCTTCAATAAGTCCTCAGAGGTGTTTTCACTCAGTGCCAGGTCTCATTGATACTTGCACCTGCTTGGTGAAGGGTATTGTGCAGAGAATGCTGAGCCTGCCTGCCTGTGTGTGCTGCAACAAGATGATACCAGCGGTTTTTCCCCCATAAACCTAGACTTTACTTCCTTTGGTGTATTCCTTTGGTGTTGTTTCAACGCNAGGTGAATGCAGTCCCGGATTCCGTGATAACTCTTTTGATTCTGCGCGAAATACTGCAGCACTTGAGTGTCGATAAGCGATCCCCCATGTCCTCCATGGGTCGCCATTTCTTCTTCAATAAGTTCTCAGAGGTGTTTTCACTCAGTGCCAGGTCTCATTGATACTTGCACCTGCTTGGTGAAGGGTATTGTGCAGAGAATGCTGAGCCTGCCTGCCTGTGTGTGCTGCAACAAGATGATACCAGCGGTTTTTCCCCCATAAACCTAGACTTTACTTCCTTTGGTGTATTCCTTTGGTGTTGTTTCAACGCCAGCCAAATGAAGCGAACTCTCGACGGCTGTTGCTGGTAGTACCATTAAGGCTCATTCTGCAAAAGTATCGTTACGGGAGGCGATCTGGCCCATCTTCTCACGGCGAAAAGTGCGCTGACGCCCAAACGGCCCCGTGCATTACTTCACTCGATGCGGCTGTGGTGGCGGCAGACCCTCTCCCTGACGCAGCTATAGCTAATCCGATCTCTACTTCAACAATGGCTCCTACCAACGCTAAGGTCGGAGGCGGCTTGCCTACCGGTACCGCTTCGACAACGGCGCCAACGGCATCGCCGTCAGCTTCATCGTTGTCGTCAGCGTTCCCCACGTCACTGCCTCCAGCATCCGCTCTGACAGAAGCCCCGCAAACGCTAGCGCCGACAGCATCTCCTTCAGCGCCAGGACCCTCGACAACACGGACGACGTCTTCAGCCTCCCCGACATCGCTCCCCACCATATCCCCTGTGACCGGGTCCTCCCCTCCAACACCACCGCCGACATCATCCCTTTCTACTGCGGCGCCTTCAATAACACTTGCTGCGCCGTCGTCAGGCTCCCCGACGTCACCGCTCACGACATCCTCGACCGCGTCGCCTTCGACCGCAACAGCAGCACCGTCTTCAGCTTCCAGGACGTCACCGCCTACTCATGCGTCATAAGCACCCTCACCGACACCAGCGCCCACGAACCCCCCGCCGACAACTACCGCTACAACGGGTTCGCCCAACTGAGCACCGACAGCTGTTGCAAGAACACGTGTNCACCACCGCCGATATCATCCCTTTTTACTGCGGCGCCTTCAATAACACTTGCTGCGCCGTCGTCAGGCTCCCCGACGTCACCGCTCACGACATCCTCGACCGCGTCGCCTTCGACCGCAACAGCAGCACCGTCTTCAGCTTCCAGGACGTCACCGCCTACTCATGCGTCATAAGCACCCTCACCGACACCAGCGCCCACGAACCCCCCGCCGACAACTACCGCTACAACGGGTTCGCCCAACTGAGCACCGACAGCTGTTGCAAGAACACGTGTCGCGTCTACAAAGCAATGACCCAAATCGAGTGTGGACTAGACTATCTGGAGAACGCGGAATTGTAGAACATGAGGCACGACTACACGATTCGATGGCTGTTCGTGTGTCTGGATACGAGCATGGTAGATCTGCAAGCAGCACGGGGGGGTACGTAGACAGGAGCATGCGTATGCCTGAACAAGGCTACTATGTGTGGGCCCCCTTCCCCGAATTCGGGAGGGCCACTTCTTCCCTTCCTTTCCTCGCTCCCGCGGGTGCCTAATCAGAGAGAGTTAAAGCGTGTCTTCTCCTCCCAAGTACGGACATACCAACACACTAGTGTTTATTCCCTCGAGGGAGTCCATTAGGGATGGCGGGCCGCAGAACCGGAGGGACCACTCCGGACGGCTCGCAGGCAGGAGACA